TAATTTGTTTCAACTTTTAGGTGCAAATGGTTAGTCAATAATTAAAGTTGAGAGCACACTAACTTCTCCCTTAAACCAGTTTTTTAAAGAAAAAGTAAACCCCAAATTTTGGTTGATTATTATTTTCCAATCGCTTTCTCCCAGTTGATTGGACGCATTTCTGTTGTATCCAATAAGATAAAGCTGATTTGACCTCTTCTGACTATACATCTCTCTCATTTAATTTTAATAAATCTTTATTTAATTAGTTGACATTATGAATTAAGAAGATGGCCATTCAGAAAAGAAAGTCTGGTTAAGGGGAAAATTAATTAAAATCCTTTCTTTACCCATTAAAAACAACCATAAAAATGAATTAATATATATATCTTTGATTAAAAGGTTCCAATTCTCGCTCTCACATGTAGTTAAATGTAAAGATAAAAAAATAATCCACTTAATTTCTCATTGTTCTTTTATTTCATAACATGATGGAGGATTTTGAAAAAACAAAACTTAGTGTGATAAAAAGTTATTTTTGGATTAAAGGGTTGAATTTAATGTATAATTGTGAGAAATAAAAAGAAAAATTTTTCAACCAAACATCTGATTCTCATACTGTCATTGTCATATTGTGGAGGTACCCATAATTTCTCATTCACGTCCGAACACTTAACTAAAATTTAGTTATTTATTCGGGTTCTGTTTCCTTTACAATTCTCCATCTTATACTAAAAAGAACATTAATTTTGCCACCTACTTAAATTCTCATTTCAATCCTATTTTATTAATTTGAAGAATTCAAAACATTAAAATTTAGAGGATGAATGAGACCACCTAAAACATGAAAGTTCATGATTCCTCCTCCAGATTTCTAAGAATTAAGTTTCGATTGTTATTCTTATTTGAAGTAGCTAATTTATTGTATAAATTTATGCCAACTCATTAAATACCAATGAGTCGATTTTGACATTCACTAATAAAAATATTACAATGAAAGAAAAAAGAAGTTAAAAAATGAAATAAAAAAGGTTAATTCAAGTAAATAAAAGCTTAATTAAAAATTAAGCTAAAAAAGAAAGCTTAATTAAAAATTGCAAGGGCAATATATCTAGACGAGGCTGCAATTCAACTATTCCCCACTTAATTTAATGGGAATATTACCTCACCAATTCAAACAACTGAGAGATCAAAATCAAGTCGACCCATTTGATCTTCTCAATTTGACCATTCCTCGCAGTTTCCTGTAAATGTAATACGACCAACTCAGAATATATATATTTCTCACTCATCAGTTTATTTCACATATAACATAAGATATTACTATATATATAAATTATATATAGGCAATTTTTTTGCAACCATTCGTCTCCCACCTTCGTCCATATATGATTTATGGCTGATTTAACCACTGCCTAAATAAAAACAAATTTCAGCTGCAACTGCAACTGCAGATTCTACTGTGCATTGCGTTTGGTTTTGCTTTGTCCTTGCATTTGTAGAACAATTTCAATTCCCACGCATCTTCTACTTTCCAACATGCTAAGGACAATTAAGGGTGTGTTCGACATCGTACCCGTGAGTCTCAAAAATCAATTAAAAGTGATTTTAAGTTGGATTTTAAATTTTCTAAAAATCAATTTTTTAATTTACCAAATTTAATCATGGAAGGAAGTCATTTTGATAAGGAAAAAACTTCGTTTCTCACCGATGAGGAGCCTTGTGCTCATTACCCTCACGTGGTCCTATAAAAACAAGACAAGTGTTGGTTGTTGTTTTTTTTAATTATTTTATTAAATTTCATAATCGGATCAAAATCACCCCAAATCTCTTTGAATTCTTTTTTTAGATTAGTTGCAACATTCGGTCCAAAATTAGAAGATAGTAAGGCACAGAACGAAACCACAGAAGAGAAATGTTATGTAATTTAAACAGATTCATTTTTCATTCGATCAACCTGAGTTGCATAAAGTTTTAAAAAAATGGAGACGAAGAAAATTGAAAAAAAAAAGAAAAGAAAAAGAGGTTACACTACTCTTCTTCAAGTTGAGAAGATGAGAGAGAAATAAGGGAGTGAGAAGTTCTGCAATTAGAGAGAAAAGGGAGAAAAGTTGTCCAACTAATCTAAAAAATGAATTCAAAGAAATTTGAGAAGATTTTGATAAGATTATGATATTTAATAAAATAATTAAAAAAAACAACAACCAACACTTGTTTTGTTCTTACAGGGCCACGTGAGATAAGGAGCACAATGCTCCTCGCCTCTAAGGAGCCAAGTTTTTTCCTTTTGATAATAGAAAAAATGATCTTCCAAATACACCTTAAACTATCGCTCAATCCAAAAGTTTAAATTGATGAATTGAGTAAATTTAATTCATATATTGAATATCTAATACTATCTAACAATGTAATGTTTATGATTTTATGTAATGTTTATGATATCAAAATATGTAAAAAAAAAATTAGGTACTCAACGCCTATGATTTAATAATGGTAAAATAAATTTTTTTATTTAGTTTTTAAAACAAATTGAAAATAGAAAAAAAAAATAAGAAATTTGTTTTGGTGGTTCAAAATTTATATAGAATCTTGAGAATTTTTCTAAAAGAAATGAGAAACAAGCTATCAAGAATCATACATTGAAAAAAAAAGAAATGTATCAAGCATTTATAATATACCTAAGTTGTTTTTCTCATTACCATTGGTTTCGAGATAAAGAAGACGAATACAACTTAACATAAATGTTATCCAACATTAGGGTTTAAAAAATAAAATATACCCGAGAAATGAGAGTTAATTAAGTAAAATATACCATGAGAGTTAATTAAAGAGGTAAAAGACAATTTAAGAATGATTATGAAATTTAATCAAACTAGATTGACAAATGATTCTTAAACTAAATGCAAACCATTAAAAACACTAAATTGAAATTAGGACTGGATTTGTAATTTAAAATTTTCTAATTATAAAATTGAAAGGAGAAAAAAAAAACATGATGAGTTTTCTTTCTTACACCAAATGAGTCACCTTTACTTCACATCATAAGCTGTAAAGAATGGTTATGCCTGCGACGCCGCGCTGTACTGTTTCTTCACACATTTTCATTCTGGGAAAATTTTTTAGAAATCAAAACGTCACTTAAAAGTTGGTTTAAAAGTTCATATTTATGTAAAAAACAAAAAAAATGTGTGTGTTTGGATTGGATTGTGGGTTGAATTTTAGAAGCCTTTTAGTAAACTGGTTGTAATAAATATTAAAGCTAGCCTTTTGAGAGAAATTCCTTCTTTTTAATTATTTATTTTGACATTGATAGTGAAGTAAAAAAGTCATTATTTGAAAATCACCCTCTGAATCTTCAACTGTTTGTGTCATTAATTCTTTCCCATTTTTTCCCCGGCGATAGGAATTTCTTGGTGAGCATTTTGAAAACAATACCATATCTAGAGGAAGATCATGATTTAATAATTGAATCAATACTTTAGGCATATCAAGGGAGACAATTTTCAGAGAAAAAAGAAAACACAAAACCAAATGAAAAGAGTTGGGAAAATGGTGGGTCATGGCTCCTTCTTTTGCGCTTGTCTCTGTGCACCACAGAAAAGGAAAAGCCCCCACATCTCATCATCCTCCATTAACACATATGACAAATCAATCTTCATCTTATTAATGAATATCACTTGAGAACTCAGATGCATGCTTGCCCAAAAAAATGAACCTAAGAAAAAGAAAAAGTGGTATGGGATAACACAACCGGGATGTGATTTTCTTTTTAATGATAAGGCGTGGCGAGAAATAATCTTATTTGAGAGGCTGCAACAATGCGACTGACAATCTTACGAAGCTAGTTTAAAAACTGTATTTTGGTGTGTGAGTTTTAGTGATGTATTTGGGTTTGGTGGGTGTTGGGTTTATTTCCATTATGTCTCTTCTGTTCTCCATATGGTGTTAGTGTTTCCCAAGATGTTTCAAATGGCTGGAAAAAGGAGAAGAAAAATGAATGAGAAATTAAGGGAGTTGTGAGTTATTGGTATAGATGTTGATATTTTGGAAGGTATGTTGCTCAAGTGAGTGGCAAGCACATGGTTTGGGGCATATTAAAGGGCCCTTGTTCGACTCCAAACAAAGAAAGAGAGAAAAATAAAGGGAACTAATTATAAAGATGGTGCCACAAATTGTTCTGTTGGCCGACAAGAAATGACTCTTGTCTAATTGGTGCCACTAGGGGTCAATTTTTTTGTGGTATTCCTTCGCCCCAGTTTTAATTTATGAAGTCTCTGAACCAGCAGCATCAATATGTCAAAATCTATTCTTTTGAAGCAACCACCTTCTTCTTCCTCTAGTGTCAACGGGGTGAAATTTTTTATTCAGATTTCTGGAAACAGAGTGTCTAAAGAACAGGTCGATTTAATTTGCAATGAACAGCTGAAATTGAAACAAAGATTGTAGGTACAAGAAACAAATTGCAGTTTCATATTTTTTCTTGGCACCCTCTGGGCCAGACAAGCACATCAAATTGAAAAGCAGTAATGGCACTTCTCATGCGGTGATAAATAAAATGTCGTTGTCATGGGGTGTCGCATCAGTCAACCTACGCTCGGCCCAGGATGATGCCAATGTCTCTACAGGAGGATTCTAATAATGGACTCTCAACTTTCTTCCTCGCTATTAAATCCTTAAACTTGCCATAGAAACTAGTTGAAGAGTAAAACATCAGAATCAGATGGTGCAATCTTGTTCTCATTCTTTCTTGTTTGGCCTATAAACTAACTACAGGTTGGATGCTCACAGTCAAGGTGTTTTCAATTGCACAAGTACTAAATTCACTGTTCTTGGTTTCAACATTACCTCTTTTCAGTAAACAACAAAGAAGGTAAAATTATGGAATAGGTCAACTTCAAGCCTCCAACCAGACCATCTCAAGGCCCTTTAACGACCCAGCTCGAGTATAATCAAAACATTGTAACGATCTAGAAAATCCAAATATGGTTTAACAGTATACAAAACTGTTAGTTCAAAACATTTTCATTTTTTTTGGATGTTACTGGAAAAGCAAGAAATCGAAGATTGTTTATTGAGAAATTTTCGACGGAATGGAAGTTGGAAACAGACTGTTTACAACTATAAAAATTAGGTGCCACAACCCAAACACGCAGTTTCTCCAATTGATCACTGGAACAAGTGGAAAATATTGGAATCTTATCCTAAGTACAACTGGTCGCTGCCACCTCAGTTTTAGCTTTTTGGCAACTCCCCCTCCTTTCCAGCCAAAAGCTGCGGCTCTGGAAAAAAGCTGAAAATGGAAGAGCAGACAGGTGGAACCAAACCGATCAAGTGCAGCGACGACCGGAATCGTCCAAAAACTGGACGTGATGCGGCCGGCGAGATTCCGATCGGAAATTCCGATGCTCTTCCAGACCCTGAGGACGAAGATTGCCATATTTCCACAAGTGAAGGTTGGGGAAGCTCCGGCGAGGAGGAGACACGGTTGTCCGGCCTGGCAGAGAGCCTGCAGATCTTAACAGAGTCGCTGCTGACGATGGAGCAAGCAGAGATGGAGATTTTCAAGTCGAGGGAGGCCATTCGCCTTGAGGAGGAAAAAAGGAGGCTGGAATCGGAGGCCGAGATGACTCGGATGCTGCTCCACTGTCAGCTGCAGATTGCGTCGTTTCTAACGGCGGCGAGGCCGAGTTGCAGCCGGAAGAGGAAGCGGGTTCAGGAGGAAGAGCCATCATCCTCCTCCTCTGCTTCATTGGAGAGGTAAAACAACAATCTTGTTCCTTCTTTAATTAGTTCGAAAAAAAGTCTGAAACTGATTCATGATCTTGTTGATTGACCCAGGGAAGGAGCTCTTCTGCTAAGTCTGATTCAACTCAACACGATCACCTTCTGAAGCTGCTATGATTTAAGTACAACTGTACAAGCATGGTATTGATCGAATTATTGAATGTATTTCCATTTCTATCTAAATCCTAAGACTACTATATTGTCGTATAATAAGCCTAGCAAAAAGGGAAAAACTATTTCAAGCTAATTGGGTTTTCTTCGTGCGGGAGTTGGAGTCCTTGATTTTGTTGTCGTCAACAGTTTGCAAAGCCTTGCGCCTACTCATGGCACACACGATATATTCTTGAAGGGGTGGTAGTATTCCATGTTCTCCAGTTTTAGATACTTGCCCTCGAATTATCTGTCCAAATAAAGAAAAAAGGAAACTCAGAAAGAGGGGTTATAGCCACCAGAAAGGAAGCCTACGCAAACGCATCAGGGGTCCATGAAATGAAGGAATAGATTGCTTGCCTTGGATGCCCATGACCGCTCGGCTTGCTGACAAATATCTCTGATGTCCCTTCCAGACATTCTGAAAATACATGCAAAGTGAAGCGAAAAGTAAGTATATTTAGAGATCGTTAAATCTTACAACAGCTCTAGAAACAAAGAAGTTGACGAAAGTAACTATTGTAGTAAAGGAGGCTTCTATTGTATCCATTAGCAGAATAGCAGACAAATGAAAATAATACCTTGGCGACCAACAGAATAAAATATAGTTTCGGGCCTACGAATAACTTACCCTTCTGTAATTCTTGCAAACTCGTTCAACTCAGGTTTTGTTAGTTGCTTTGCGTACTGAGATGCTATTTCCTGGCGGTTCCGCTCATCAGGTAAGCCAAATGTGATCATTGAGTCAAACCGACTAAACAATGATTCAGAAAAAGAAATCAGTTGAGAAAACTCAGCAACCAAGCATCCGGTTTACTTTTTCTTTCTTTTTTTTTTTAACACAGACGGAAACATGCCAGTAAATTAAAAAAAAAAATATAAAGATCAGCATGACCTAATTAAAGCGGGATCAAGGTCCTGCTTCCTGTTCGTGGCAGCAATTACAACCACTTTCCTGTCCTGCTCAAATCCATCAATCTGCACAGAAACTGTAAGTTAAACCAATTTGCTCAAATAGCTTGACATGTCAGTTCGTTTATTCATGTAAATGACACGAAGTTCCAATTGACTGCCATCCAACTTAACATCTTGTTGCGCATGCAAATATTTTTAATCAAACATTTATGTTCAGTTAAGGCACAGATGTACATTTACTGAAGACACGACTTTTGGAGTCCTCGATACATGTAAATTCATATTTACCTGACGTAATAACACTGATAATACTCTTCGAGTAGCTTCATGCATTTCACTGTCACGAGTAATTGCAAAAGAATCAACCTGCCGTTGGAAAAAAGGGGGACATTGCAAATTGTTAAATGTAAGACCCGGTTGGATAATGCTGATAATATCTAATTTTTTAAATCTAAGCGAAAATTTGATAATTAAAAAAAGAGTACGTTTAATTTTTTTTTTAATTTGACTAAGAATTCAAATATGTTTTTAAGGAAGACGAAAAATAATACCAAAAAAATAGTAGAAATCAAGTATAATTTTTAAAAACAAAAAATAAATAATGAAACAGGTATCAAATGGGACCTAAAAGATCCAACTGTAACCAGTAAAAGGGAGAGAAAAATGGCACACGAGAAAGAGAAAATACCAAGTGGATTAAAAAAGACAAAAACAAAACAAGCTGATGATCAAGCAATGACCAAGCCTTACCTCATCGAGGAAAATGATAGCACCGTCACTAAGCTCATTAGCCAGTGAAAACACTTTTCCCAAGAGGCGTTCACTTTCACCATAGTACTTTGACATGATAACCTCAAGTGGTACATATACCAATGGAACGTCCTGACACAATATGTGAATATATATTTTTAGGTTACATCCATACATCACATTATTAACGAGATAAGCAACTTATGACATCATTTCCTAGGAATAAAAGGATCAGATGAAATGTAGAACATATTTAAGTATTTGCTGAAACACAAAGTGCAACATGAAGACTATACTTCGGAACTACAACTTTTTTCGTGTGTTGAAAGAATATATAGTCACTTAGTCAGTAGGTATAAAGAATCTCATCCTCAAAGCCACCAGCAAAGATTACATATTTAACAAGTATTCTCTATCAACCTTTTTTTATTGCTTTGATTTCACTTGAGATCAATCACAACTCATGCGTATCAAAAGCATATAATGACTAACCGCTTGATTTGCAATTACACGAGCACAAGATGTTTTTCCTGTACCTGAATCAAAGATGCCACAAGTAAGCTGCGCTGACACCTGATCCAATTTTTCTTAGCTAGATAAGCAAAATAGTAAAATACAACTACACGAATCCCACAATTCTGCTGAATCTCAGTGCCAATGTCAAGCAAAATGTTTAAAATGTGGCGTAGAATTTGTTCAAAAACCAAACACTAGAAATTTTGCATCCTGGACACGAAGTGAATTTTGTTAGCTGCATCCTACCAAATTTAGCAAGTGTCACCCTATTTTAATGGCGGTAAACATTTTTTTTTTAATTTGGACATCAGTAGGGGGCGAAACCTGCTGCTGATTGACCAACATTGATTTTAAATAAATCCAGGGTGAATAGAATTCGGAAAAGGAAAGAGTAGGGGCAGAGAGAAAAGTACAGAAGTGGTACGAGAGCATAGATTATAGATAATGTCGACAGAAGGGTTTAAATAAATTGTGCAAAACGTGGAACACTTCTGGATTTTCTCCCCAGGAAGATCTGGAAAATGGTCCCCTGTCCTCTCTGAACACATCTTTTCTTTAATGAAAAACCTTCTTGCTTCTGATTAAAGGGGAAAAAAACAGTGGTAAAATTTTAAATTTTAAATTGCATATTTTCCTTTTTTTAAACTACATGTAACATTTGTAACATATAATGTGGTCTATAATACTAAACAAAAATTTGGTAGTTTCATCTCTACATTTCACACTCGCTGTAGTTCTAATTTTCCTATCACAATCATACACAGAAAGAAAATTGTCTTCTAGTAATAAGTAACAGGGACAATCTGCGATTTATAACTCTAGATAATTTAACCCAGACAGAAGAAACCACAGAAGAAATATTGCAAGATTCGTGAAATTTTATACTTGATTCTCTTATATTCCTCACTATGGAGCAGTTGCCACTAAATGAAGCAACAATGAGAGTTTGAGAACGTGAAGACAGGCCTGGATAAGGAATATGCATAACCTAGTAAAGAGAGTCTATTTCCTGAAATATTATTCACAGACATTCTCAATTTAGTAACCTACCTGGAGGCCCTTCAAAGAGAACAGCCCGAGGTCTATTTGATTCAAACTTGTGCCGGGTCCCACGAGCAATATCATCAAATAATTCTGGATTATGCAGAGTCATCAATATTGTGTCTTCTATTTCTCTGCAATAAAATTATGAGCAAATTAAATGAGGAATACATAATTCTTGGTAACAAACATAGATGATCCATATACACAAACAATGAACATAAAGTAGAGACCACAAACTATGTCATCCTTAATAAAACCTACATGCTTCCATAGAAATCAGGAAATAAGAGAAGGAAATGAATAGGAAGCATCACAAAATAATTTTAAAACATTCAAGGCATTTTTAGAGAAATAAGAGCAGCCATATAATTATAATCCTTTTTCATGTCCAGCAAGAAATGATTTCATTTCTTTTTTACCTTAATATATGACATGCATAGAAGACCAAAATGTACAAAAGTGCTACTTTATGTAAAAATTTATTGAAGGCTTCATATGCAGAACAGGAAACAAATTCAATGCCAATGTCTATCCATATTTAAGTCCTATAGTTGATGATAGAACTACAAAGTATGCAATGGGGCAGCAGTCCCTACCCTTTTTGCTGATCATAACCAGCAATATTATCCCAGGATATCTCATTGTTAGAGGAATTAACACGTGGTTCGTCAAGTCCATATACTTTTACACCCATTGCTTCAAGGCTAGATATAGATTTTTCAGAAGATGGCATCTGCGTAGAACCTTCCCTCGATTTGCTTTCAAAGGATTTACTTTCTCCCAACCTTCCACCAGCTAATTGTAAAACAGAAACCAAAGAATCAAGCTCTTTGGTGCTCAAGCTTCCCTGCTTTATGAATTCAATTTCCTGTAGCAATTTGCAATAACTAGAATGAAAATTTTATATTCAAAGTTGTGCACCTATGACTGGTTATTCAATAGAACATTAAAAATAAAAATGAATCCATATTTCATAATTAATAATCTGTTAAAAATTAGCACTGACAGTTTTATCTGAGGTAATAAGTGAATGAAATATCAGGACACTTAGATCTCCATCCTCAGCATCCATTTCTATTGAGATTCCCTCATTTCCTCCGGCTTCTCTCTGAGTTTTTGGGTTAGTAAGAGTTAGTTGCCAAGCAACTGGACTGCAAAAGTTGATACATGATACAGTACAATGAACAACTTCATAAGAATTGTGGGCAAGGTAAGAACAACGAACTTAGAACTACATATGAAGGCAGCAATCACTATCAATTACATTTCAATAATTGAAACCACGTGATCCATGGAAATTCAAATATTCAGATGCATGTACCTGTCCCAAGCACGCAATAACATATCTGAACCACCAGCACGCTCTTCAACTTTTAGTCCCAGATTTGATACAATATTTGCAACCAGATGCGAAACTTCACAACTGGAAGGAACTTGGAATTTAATGGTGACCTGCATCTCATTCTAGAGAATCAGAAATAATTCCACATGCATATATCTTACAATATAGAAGTTAACATTTTATCTCAGTATATGATTATGAATAAATTTTATAACAGGAAACACACTCAAGCCTATAAGAAATAAAGTAAAATGGATCTTTCAAACACAGTGGCTGTTCAACCAATCTCTGTTTTCAGATCAGATGGTACATTTACTGTTTCAAACGACAATTATTGGGTCAAATACTCAGCATGAATCTACAATATTTGATTATAGAGAAAATCAACAGCTGGTGAGTCAAAAAGAGAGAAAATATATATACAATACCTTTTGGCCTTTAACTCCAACAGTAAATCGCGGACACGCACCATACTTCAATCCTTTGTTCCTTATTAACTGTTCAATTCTCCGTCTCTCTCTCTTAGCAATCTCCTCCATATCAGCATGAGTAGTAAGGTCATTCGGTTGTGGTGGAGTGACAGCAGACTGTGGATAGCTAAAGTCATAACTAAATCAATTCAAACAATGCAGCGACAACTTAAGTTGCAAGTATAGACCACCATATATCTTGGAGAAATAATAGAGACAGTCTTCGACTATCCAAGTGACTAATCATCAGGGGAAGTAGACGTACCTCTTCAGCTTCTGCATATGCTATTTCCATTGCCCCAACTCCAAACGTACTGACAATGATTGCTGGATATAGAAAGCCACGTTCACGTCCATTAAACACTGATCGTGGTTGAAGGTACCCCGTTTGAGGCTGAAAAGTTCCTGCACACACATGTGATAAACCTCCTTCACGACTAAAGTTTTATTGCTGATATAGAATATCAGCGACTGATGAACGTTATTATAATTCATAAGAACCGCGAATCAAGCGAGCCACTGTTTCCACCCACTAACAACATACAACCACAGACATCCAAAAGAGAACAGCACAGTCCGTTGGAGGCACATAATTTGGCATAAGGTTACATAAAGAAGAAAAAGATTCGTAAATATACACGCATAACGTAGCACGGAATAAAAGCAAAAAACTTGAGTTCGGAAAGAAACATTTCTGCGTGAATAACAACAGTTTAGAGACGATGATTGCCAAGAATCAAAAGAGAAACCTACTGGGATATAAACTGCGCGATGTGCTTGAATGATCCTTGAGTTTGAACGATGCAATTATTCGCCACGCTCGTGCGGTCCTCACTATACGCTCCAGAATCGTCATGGAATCTTTCCTGCTACAGAGTAACTCTCTGTCCCCGCTCAAATTTAGGTCATATGCTCACGGCAAAGCGTTGATCAAACTCAGCGACGAGCGACGATCGGTCGATGCCTTGTGCTGACGGGTCGACAAGTCGGAGTTGTGAGAACTGAGAACTGAGACCAACGGGTTCGGATATTTTTCAATTTTTTTTTTTCTTCTCTGTTTCCTAATGGGCTGGGCGCTCGAACATGGGGGCCCAACTCAGAATGCTAAAGTTCGGTTGTTTATCATCAAATCAAAATGAGCGATTCTTCTCTCTTTCTTTCATCAAGAAAAACAGAGAGAAAAATAAAGTACGCAGTCCGGAAGACATGGATCTCCTTGTTTTTCAAGTCGGCCGATCAAACACCATCCCAATGCCGCAGACTCGAAACCACTGGGACGGTGCAGCAAAATCCGGGTTACTTAAATAAAAATAAATAATTCACTTTTTAAATAACCAATTATTATTCAAACTTACATGTCAAACAAAAATTATTAGTCAAACTTAAAAGGATTTTCACTTTCTAAATATATTAAATATAAATTAAATTACTAGTTAGAATCAGTAAACTTCCAACTTATGTATTCAATAGATATCTGAATTTTAATTTTGATCCTAATATGTTCCTAGCGCATTCAACATTTTCTAAATTTCATGGATTATGTTAGACACAATATTAAGTTTTATATCTTATACTACAACGTAGGTTAAGGAGTTTTGGATAAAATAGATATAACAGTGAGCGGTAATTGACATATATCTAAATCAAGAAGTTGTGAATTCAATCTTCCGTACCCGCATATTGTAACTAAAAGAAAGAGATACAACCCTAACTAGTAAACTATATTGAGGATGGGTTAAATTTTATGTACGTATTTAATTTTCTTACATTCTTTAAAATTATTTGTGTGGCCCATTTGTAGAGTCGATTAATCTGTGTGTCAAAATCATATCACTTCATCTAAATTGACACCACCCAAATCCAAGTCCTAGAAAAATAGAGGTGTCATTCTATATTTTGTTAACGAGTGTCAACCACAAGTGTAATAGATAACCACGAACTCAAATCTAAAGCTACACGTTAGAATTAAAACTTCAAAGATGAAGTGTTAGGGATAAATATCTAATCCAACACTAAATCATCTCATTCTCAATCTCAAGTCTCATCCCACTCTTCCATCTTCCAATTGGATCAAATCAACTATATCTTACAGTTCCATTCAAATAATGTGCTCATAATCACCTGGACTCCACATCACACACCAGTTTCATCTTTCTTTTCTGAAAAAAGAATCAATTCAAACAGAACTGGAGCGTTTTTAACTAGTTTTTCACCAAAAAAGTTAACCCGCCTCGCCTCTCAGTACTACCAAGGACACTCCTGTCATTGGAACTTCCTTGTTCTTCAGGAAAAACAAAACTTGGGGAAAACTTGGAACAGGATAGTGTCCTGGAAACACATGTATTGGACGGTGAAAATAACAGCCAGAGAAACAGGAATAATGACAACAAATTTTCATTTTAGTTTCTTTGGGCACCAACCAAGAATTACCGTTCGTTACTGAATTCATGGGCATGGCTAGATAAGAAGATGGATTGGTCTATTCTTTTGCCCCAGCCAAACCAGAAGCAGCCATGGATTACAGGACAAAAAAATTCCTGGAAAAATATCAGCCAAAATCTATAATCTTCTAGAGCAAGTTTCCAACAGGGTGGCCATTGGTGGTCCTGATAATGATGAAGAAGCAAGAAAGAAGAGAAAATAATACCCCATAAAGCCATGACAAAAGAAAGATAAAGAAGTTCAGAAAGGTATTCATTCAACCCAACAAATCATCGGTGAGACGAAAAATGCTTGAAACAAAGAGATCAATCCAAATTGGGGGACTGATTTTTGAGAGAAAAACAGAGGTGGATTGAAATTGCAGCAACAGCAAGCAAAACTCTGTACAGAGCTGATCAATTAAGTGGAGTCAGACTTCGGATTGGCTAATACTTTTGGTTAATTACATAGAAAAAGAGATGCAAAAAGTTGGGATTCGGTGAGATTACTATACAATAATACATTTGAAAGCGGAAATTTTCTTTTATGGGAAATGTTAATGCACTTTCTTTGTGAAAAGGCTTCTTATGCTAAAGAGATTGGCACTACTACTTGAATTTCCAGGATTGCTGACGCTACCGCCGCCGTCTCCATTGTTGTCGTATCCATGGCTACCGCCGCCGCCGCCGCCGCTGCCACCGTTACCGTTGCTGACGACCCCTACGGCACTCGTCTCATCGCTTCTACAGCTTAAATGGTTTCTGTAACCGATACACATGGGGACGTTTAAAT